AGACAAATCATAGAAAGGAGCACGAACTAGAGTGAGCCTCCTTCTGGCATGTTCGGCAGAACCGTTACCATGGTCTTACGGAATAAGACGGTTCTAGTATTATCATCGTACTACCGAATTAACATGGCTATTAGAATCAAAGAAGTCTTATATTAGATCGGTCTGCGCTTATGCTTACAGTCTTACCATTCCCAAACAGAAAGAGAAAGACTGTGACAGAGACCTCACTGCCATAAGGAGTAATTATAATTGCTTCCTGGTGTCGCGTTTGCTAATACACCAGAGGCGGCTCCTGCCATACTAGCAGCTCGCTGTAATGCTAGCTGCTCCTCCTCATGCTTGCGACGCTCTTCGGCAATGTACTCGGCAAGTGTTTTTGCGACAGCTGCGGCATAAACTTAGAGTAATGCAGCTACTGCTACTGCGTTTCTCGAGATTCATCCTGCTCATTTCCTTGGAGGTCGAGGGCTTCTTTTTCAAGTAAGGAGAAAAAGAGCCAAAGTAAAGCCGCACACGCACCTCTTAGGATGCTCCTCACAACTCAGTAGAGGATGGATCTGCATGCTGTGAACTACGAACGGGTAGCTGCCTTAATATTCCGGCGAAGTCTCATTGGCCACAGCAACGGCGTAGGAGAACGGATCATGTCCTTGCACTGTCCTGCGCCAACCGTGAATTGTGAGGTCTTCCGTAAACTTAGCGAAAAGAGTGGGAGAGGAGAGTTCTACTGGTACTGTGTTACACTCGAGAGGGGTACTATACACAGTACATTGCATGTAACTAAAGACTCGGCGTTTTTTCTATACACAGTACTGTATTGGGAGAGGAGATACCGCTAACTAGAGATAGATATACTGGCGGGGTATCGTGAGATAGATCTACTGGTACTGTGTATCGAGAGGAAGTAGAGTTCAAGAGCGGAAAGGGAGAGGAGCGCTCTACTGCATATAGTAGAGTCCAAGAGAGGAGAGGGAGAGGAGAGCTCTACAGTACTACTGTGAACCACTAACTTTGACAGGGAGAGGGAAAAGGTGAGGATTAGTTGCTGATCGTATGAAGTTTATGAAATGTGTCATAACAGAAGTGTACTCCTCTGTGACATACAGGCCACGTTTCGAAACCTTTTCTTTTAAAGTGCAGGCACCACCAGAGGCATTCCAGAACATGTTCTGGTCTCCAAAGCAGACGAACCAAGTATGAAAGGCGTCTATTCCATTTTTTTAGCCAGACAATAACGGCTAGCACCCTTTCCTCCATATTAAAGACGTAATATAGCATGAAGGGGAGGAGCCTCGAGCTCGATGGTCGTGCCACGGATGGAATAAACGCCACCCATACCAAGTATTCTTTTCTGCGGCTGTTGCATTCTGCTGATTCACATAGCGCTGGAAAAGACCTGTACAGCCGACAGAAAGTTAGAAACAAAGGAGGGGCGAGTGAGAAGTAGAAAGAAGAGAGAGAGTGCAACTACCTAGAAGAGGTTCTTGTACTTACGTAATGGAATTCTCTGGATCCGATTGGAAGATGTAGAAAGTATTCGCACGAAGCAGATTTTCCTTCAATAAAATATTATTCGCTAGTATGATTCCTAAGCAATCAGCGCCGGTTCTTAATGGTATAGACAAGCATGCTCCGCTTCAGGTAAGGGGAGAGGCGTACCACCAGCGCAGTTGTACCCATCCGCTTGCAAAAATTTAAAACAATCAGCGCCAGAATTATTAGAAGACTTCACCATGATAATTCATCATCTTGAAGATATTACATCCATGAGGAGTATGACTATGAGCATCAGGATCAGGAGGCCCATATACTTATACTCACTCATACATTTACTTTTCAAGGATGTAGCTGAGAAATGAATTATCGACAGCCCCCGTAAGAACAGTAACGAACCCATACATGGCACTTAGTGTGGCTTTAGCCCCACTTGTGCCTGGTATAGCACGACTGGTTCTTCCGAGAGTACTTCTAGCACTGGCAAAGGAAGATGCGAACGCTCTTGCCCGACTCTCTGCCTCAGCACTAGAAAAAGCTGCTTCTCTTGAAGAGGAACCTGTTGCTTCTGCACTGGAAACAACAAGACTAGACGTAGTAGTTAGAGGAACTGCAGAGGTAATAGGAAAGCTCTAGTAGTCTGGCAGAGTCAATCCCTGAAGACCTGCTCATCTTGTAAGTAAGACGGACCCCAAAATATCCGAGGCAATCAATCATCGCTCATCTTGTGAATCAACCAATGATCTGCTCATCTTCCGAGACTCGTAGTAAATCTGCACTAAGAGTAGAGAACCCTAAAGATGCGCCAGATTCAGCACTAGTATCCGCACTGAGTTTTCGACTGGTCGAAGACAACAGCATTAGCTGTTCTTGATGCTCGTTTTCGTTCTTTTGTTCGTCTACTCTCCTCCTACGCGTCACTCCTCCCCGTACTTTTGTTCGTCCTCCTTTATTCTTAGAATCTTGCTCCAAAATACAATCGTTAGAACCTCCAAGAGAAACCCATCATTTTCGGGCTCGTCTTGGTTCCCGTACAGTCCCTGTGGACAAATACGACGGACCACCAAGATGCTGGGGAGGATGGATAGGTTGACTAGGTTAGGCGCGGGCCTTCCACTAGATTTCTTGAATGGTTCCGGTATTTGGTAACCTGATTTTGATCACAAGAATTCGCTTCCTGTTTTCCCTTATCATGATCAAGATCAGGCTACCAGATACCACCAAGAACAATACACTTCTTTATATGTTGCCTTAATTATATCGGTGCCCTCCTCGTCGTCTTCGTCCAAATTTGTCCTTTGTCGATCTTTTCTGTCTTGCCATGATGTCTCTCTTTCGTTCCGTTCCTGTGCGTATAGGTAGCGAAGCGAATAACTGTCGCCCGTACTGGCTTCAAGTGCAACCTTCTGAACTCAGATTAGGTGAACTACTTCTTAGCTTAAGAACTTCTTAAGAACTCTGATTAGAACTACTTTAGAACTTGTTGATTTTTACTCGTTTATAAGTTAATAACTTTGTTGTTTCTTGATGACGATGAGAGAGCTACGGTGTTGGGATCATATAACTCTTCTACTAGTAAATCGAATTTGTCTTTATTGTGGTGTGTGTGTCTCCATGATCTTTGTCATTATTGTGCGTCCCGATGATCTTTGTTCAAATATGCTAGTGAAGAAAGCTGGCTTGTATTCGCTACGCCACGTGTACTCCATGACGAAGACGAAGAGAAGTAGACAGACAAATACATAAAATGCGTTTCACAAAGAAACGTGTACGACAACATTTTCCTTCAATGCATAACATCTGAGCCTGTTGTTCTGTTGCTTCCAACAATAGGGCAGACAGGTGCTGCGCTTGTGCAGCTGCCGAAGCGGACACTTTTGATGTCGTAGCTGTACTACTCTGTAGTTTTGCGGTAGAAGCAGCTGTACTACTAGCTGTACTACTCTGTATTTTTGCGGTAGAAGCAGCTGCACTACTCTGCAGTTTTGAATTAGTAGAAGTAGCTTGAAGCGCATTGCTCTGACTTGTCTTTGAGGTAGTAGTTTGGAGCGCTTTGCTACTCTTAGAGGTGTAGGGAACTCATCTCGGGGATCACCTGGGTGCCATTTTCCTCTTGTCTTTCTCTCCCCGATGACTTTGGAGATGAGTTCCCTACTTCCATAATACTTTTTAGAAAAGTGCTTTTTAGGGTCCTTTCTTTGGACGCCTCCTTCTGCAGAAACGAAGTCGGACTGACTGCTTTGCACCAGGGCCCGTCCTCTTCGGACTCGTCACCTGTCTGACTCAAACGCCGAAAAATCAAAGAGAATTCTCTTTATTAGAGAAAAAATGCTTGTGTTTCAGTGGAGCCCTTCTACCTAGAAAAAGTGAGATGTATAACAAAATTAGTAGCCCTGTTCTTGAAGTAAGTAGAAATAAAAAGGGGGACTTGGATGGATTAGATCAATAGACTAGTAAATACTTAGAAGGAGTTCATCACGATCAACAGCAGGAGAGTGAGCCTAAGCAAGACTGGGGTGGTTACATCAATAGTGACTAGACCTACAGCTTAGCAGCCTTAAGCTTTGGCATTGTTCATCCCACTTCGCCCACAGCTTGCACTCGTGACCGACCTCAAACCTGCCAACCTCGCAGAGAACGAATTCATCGTGGTAGCCTCGCCATCGTCGCTGCAGGTACCCCAACAGTAGCAGTAGAATAGAAAGTTAGAGGGTTTATCAAGATCATCAAATCATTGCTGTGCCAGAACCTTCAAGAACAAGCAACGGCTCCGGATTAGTAGGCCCTGTATGTTGAAACGAATCCCGAAGGAGGAAAAAGAACACGAAAGGAATTGAGTCTAGAGTAGTGGGGGTCTACTCTAAGAGTGGCTATGGAACCGAAAAGTCTTTTCACTTTCAGAATCAGTAAAATTTATTCTTTATAAGCTTTAAATATCTAGTTAATAGATTAAGTTAACTAGCTAGTTAAGTGGTGGCTGCGAAGGTGCAAGGCTTTGTGCGTGGCAAGGTCTGAGGCGATCCCGTGGAGAAGAGCTGGGTGGCTGAGCCCATGAGCCAGCTGGATGACGAATGATGATGCACTTCTCTGGGAAAGTCTTGAATTTGAAATGTCCACGTCTGTAGCACCACCTCGAAACCTCAAACCGTTGTAACCTTAAGAGCTCGGCTATTGAAAGACAGATGCAACATGATGTAGAAAGACCTTCGCCATTCTGCGCTAATGGCAAAGATGAGATGTACTGTTTTTTGGATACGGAGTCGGACTAGATGTTGAGACGTCGATCGGTTTTCCTCTTTTTTCGATCGCAATCCAATGAGAGTAAGCTTAGAGGGAGTTTCTTCGTTTTTTTCGGTGGTCGTTAACCTTCAAACCTGACGAGCGAGCCCGGATTGATCTTCGTGAGCGATGTCCTGAAACTACTGAATTTATAACGTCGTCTTCTCTGAAAATTGCGCCCTTCTGATCTTTTTGCCCTTCATCAGGAAAGGAAAGTCCCCCATTAGGTTTGCGCTCGTAAAGCAGCTACTTCAGAAGAGTTTTCTCAGTTCTCAACTTAGATCAAAGATGTTCGGTGGTCTTGGCGGGGAAGGAAAAAGCCTCACGCCAGCGCAAAAGCGCTCGCATGCGAGCGCCCATGCAAATGCGCTTGTCTCCCTGGCGCCGTATCTCGCACGCCATCAGCGTGACTCGCTTATTGTTACCTTGCAGCAGGCAAATATCCAGGAAGCAGAGACTCTTCCCATCGGAAAGGAGCGCTTTGGTGGTCAGCAATACCGTGGTACTGAGCTACAAGTTGGATGCTATTAATTCTTCAACATTTCCCATCCTCAGTCAGTTGTGAACAGGTTGAGACCTAAGACGCATTCTCCTATCGGGTTTTACATGTGATGACGGTGTCCATACATGTCTCCAACTCAAGACCTTCTCGCTTTGACTAGTTCTTCATCTAACTGTAATCCATTCCCAACCTCCAGATGGCTGGGCCTCGTTGCCGGCTAAACACCATGCCCGTTGGATTGCAAGGGCTACGCACTTGCCGTACAGCGAGGAGCAGCGCATTGTTTCGTCTGGCGAGATTGCTTGGAACATCTACAAAGTCCTTGGGATGACGGCTCAGCACGTACATCTTACTCTTAAATCTTGGATTGCTTGAAGAATTGGCTGTGAGAGTTTTAAAGACAAACACGACGCTCATAATTTAGCTGCATAAGCTCGTGGTCCATGAGTTGACGTTTCTTTTTACCAGACGAAAATACTACTTAACTTTCCTATCCCTTTTCATAAATACATCAGCCGCCGGCTGGCGAGTCTCGCAACGCACAACCGGACGAAAAAAGCTGCGACAGCGAAGTCGCAGCTTGGGCTGAGAAGCATGGGGGTTTGAGGGAGATTCTGTCTGCTGTGGAAGAATATACCACTTTCGGCACACCGATTCCAGTCGATCTCTATTATTGGAATCGTATGCGCGTTAAGCGTGGGCTGCCAGTCTTCAATCCCGGCATGCAGCAGAATAATCGTCCGGTATTTTCTTAGAGAAGTGCCTATCTCTTTGTAGTAAACGAAGAAGGAGCTCGAGTGTCTACTTGCCATCAATGGAATTTGAAGTAGGTCCTACAAGTAGCTCAATTTGTCATACTAAGTCCTACAATTAGACGTCACATATCTCTAGCTCCCGATGGACATCCTCACATCTTATCTCTTTCCCAGATGGCCCTTATGGACGCGCACACGCCTTTTCCCGCTCCAGCCGCGGCTGCGACGGACATGGCAGATCGCAGCCGTTCCAACCGCCGCCCAACCGTTGAAGCAGATGTAACTGAGGAGGTTCCGCCAACCAACCTGTTTTCGGCGCCGGCGCCGAAATCTGCAGCAGGACCCAGTACCAACACAGCCTCCAATGCTGCTCGCCGCGAGATCGTCGAGAAGAATCCCGTGTGCACCAAAACGGAGGTGGTCGACGTGGATGGAGGACAAATGCTGCTGATGCACTATGATGATGGTACCGTCCGCCACACCATGATCACTGGGTCGATCGGTGACAAATCGAAGAAAGTCGGATCTCCGCGTGCAGCTGCTGCCGAGCCAGTGCTGTCGAAGTCGAAGTCCGTCGGGTCGGAGAAGAACGGTCCCGGTGACCAACGTGCTGAAGATCACAAGAAGGATCCAAAGTCCTCCACTGATGAAGAGGTCCCGGCAAAGAAAGCCGTCACGACGGTCAAATCTGCTGATGTGGAAGTCGGAGCAGAAGAGAAGGGTGAAGAAACTGCTATCGGAGAGACTGCCGCTGATGAAGATACTCAGGCTGCAACGGAGTCTGCCGCTGATAACAAGGGAAAGAAGGGCAAATCCACGCTGGCGGACATGGCCAAAAAACCTAAGGCTCCGAAGAAGCAAGCGAAAGCCAAGAGTGGACCGCAAAAGAAGTCCACTGAAGAGGGTGGAGTGGATGATATCCCGGCAGGTGCTGCGACTGGCATGGATGTGAGCTTCGAGCAGGCTCTCGGATCCGCGGCCTCCAGTGAGAAGAAGTAAGTGATGAATGGAGAAAGAGATCTCCAAATGGTTCCTCTTGATTAGAATAGAAGTACTTCAAAATTTATCAACAAGAATAACGGTTATTATATTCGTCATCAAATAGAAACGGCACTACAAGTTGCGTCAATCTATTAAATTTAAGTATTAATTTGTTCAATGAATTGTTTAGATCAGAGCAGTTTCGTTAAGAATTTGATATCTACGGTATGAGAAAGTAAGGAAATTTATGGAAATCGCAGAACTAAAAGGCATCTACTAAATACCGAAAAGGAAGAGAGTGTTCAGTTAAAACAATAAGGGATTTAAGTGTATCAGGCTGTTCGAAGTATTCAATTTCATGATTAAAGTTTCTTAATTTTCAAATCAACGAAAACAGTACTGGGAAAGAGTTACGATAAGGGAAAACAAAAGCGAAATTGTAATAAAAGACAAGAACGAACGAACGAATTTCTAGTCGGGAAACAAGATGATGAATTATTCTTTCAAGTGATGTATGTCATTCGCTGAAGTACGACCGTAGCGCTCTTTGCACAAGCACGGAGTTACTCGATTCGACGCCAGTGTCGTTACTTCCGTTTCCATTTTCTCGAGCTAGATACTTGTCCTGTGAGGGAGATTCTGAGAGAATGGGTGACACTTCGATGAGTGGGAGAGTCCTGCAGTCGTTGTCTTTTGAAAGCGATTGAAAATGAAAAACGGACTGGCTGGCTGTTGATTAATGAAAACGAAAGTGACACCGTGAAAGAAGTAGGCTGTTTGATGGTAGTTACGCGCGAAATCTCTATAAAATTTTACGTATTCAAAACCTTTCCATAACGTAGACTCTAGTCCATAATGCCTCCACAAAATGATGGCGTCGCGAAAGCGATTCGCGACGCCGACCTCAAGCTGCTGGATAACGGTCGAATGAGTGTGAGGCGGCTCTTGCCTTTTCGAAATCGATGCAACTGGGGGCGAGACTTCCAGGAAGGCTATCGCTGTTTCCGCTTTCACCGAAATATCCGCACTGCCAGCTATAATGAAAAGAGTGGCGTTGCCGATGACGATTGGGGGATGGAGGCGGTAACTCGTTGATCATAATTCGTTACTACAGAGATGTGTACTTTTTCTTCGATAAGCTTCTGGATTTTTATGGACATGGGATGGACCTCTTCAGTATAATCGCTTCAGTACATACAAACTTGCTTATAATATTGATAGCATCTTCTCGCATAAACTTCCAGGTGCACTTTAAGCTATATATGCGGAATTGCAAATGCTTCGATGAACGGAATCAGCAGATCGCCGTGGCAGCGCGCTTCTCGATTGACGAGTTAGATTCCGACCCAAGCCGAGTGGCTTCGCAGATCGAGTCCTTATTGTGTGGGGATGGGGTCACGGACTACTTCCAGCTGGTATTGTTTTTAAATTGGCGCAAATAGATGCTGACTGTCGAGCTTGATTCAGTGCACGAAGTTAGTCTTGACCGTGAGCATTCATCACATAACCACTGAGCATACTAGAGTAGAAACGTTTCATCTCGTCGGGCCCTTAGCATCCTTTTAAGCAACCAAAGACCTTAACCATCTAGTGCTTGAAAATCCAAACCAATCACGCCCCACCATCCCAGAAACGGCTACTGGTTCAAATGTTCGACCTGTCCTTCTTCGTGCAAAAAGTGGCTGGATTAGTGAATGCCGGTTACGAGGATTGCCGACTGAATGCCCTGCAGTGGCAGCATTGTTTAAACATACAAGCGGATGGAAGTACAAAGGGCAAGGAAAAAAAAGAGGCATATCAGGTGCATGCTTTTACTTGGATAAGAGGTTCTTAGTAGATTTCAGATAAGGCAAAATCAGTCGTAACATCTTCTTTTATCAAGAGGGAAAGGCCTCGCGTTATATCTCCACTTTCATCATTCGGCTTTACTTTGTCTTTGTGCAGCAGTGGTTTCTCCTGCTCTCCAGGTTTATGTCACGGTCGTCGATCCAGATCCAAACGAGGACACCATTAAGACGTTTATGGCGCCTGTGCCGTTGCAGCGTCCATCAACACAAACAAGAGGCGGAGACCATACGGTGAAGAAAGCAACATATGACGCATCGAGACCGAAGGTGAGAGGGCTGCTGCGACTGGTGCATCATCTTGGGGGCAGTCGGCTGATGGAGGTTTTCATGGGAGACGCGGTCGCATCGGGTCCAGCGCCAACATTGGTGTTGGATTCCGATCAGGAGGAGTGTGAAGTGCGTGCGCACTTCGCTTTGGGAATGGTGATGCGTGCAGTCCCAAGACTGGGACTGCACCATCGCTTAGCAAACCACGTGAATAAGGAAAAGCAGCTGCTGAAGGTGAGGGAAGCTCTACGAGAGTTTACCGGAGGGGCTCTCGCGAAAGAGTCCCTCAGAGGAGCGTTCATTTCTGCGCGAGACGAATGCGCTGTTCTTGCTCGTGCTTTCAGCTTAGTGGTCGACGCTATAGAGAACGAGACCGGAAAAGCAACAGCCGACGCTTTGGAGGAAGGTACTACTAGATTCGGACGAGATGATAGATGTCAGCTTTTGGACTTTCATTTTGCTCAAAATGCTCCAAGTTCGCATCTCATCGAAAAAAACCACGTTTCTGACCCTTGTCCCGACTAGGATCCACATAATCCTACCTAGTTTTCCTGTCGCTTTCAACCATGGCCTTCACCCATGGCCGCGACCATGATTTTCAGAGTTGAAAAGATGCACTTTTTTAGCTTTTCTAGTGGGGAATAGGTTTCAGAAGTTGGTCCGAATGGTCCTGAAATTGTAAGGTTCTGCGAGGGTCTCGCTCACGGTCTCAGAGCGGGACCGAAGCTGCAACATCATGACGAGTTGCATGTCGACTACAGAAATTTTCTCCTTCACCTACATCTCCACTTCAGCTACCTCGCTCACCTCGATGGTTCGAACCCGATGGTTCAACTTGTGCTACGTTGCGGCTTGGCTCGAAAAGAATTGCAGTGTGACCATTCATATCCTCAGACACATGCTTGGCAAGCCGCAAATTCGGCAGCGAGTTGTTGCTGCTGAGGCGGCAATGTTGGTGGAAGCTGGTCATGATGCAAACGCAAACGAAGATAACGAGATCGACGATCTATTTCCACTAGCTCCAGTAGATGTCGACGACGGACCGCTGCCGGGACCTCGGCCTTTACTCGATGCGGAGCAGCAGGTGGATTTGCCGGAAGAACAGGTGGTGGCTGTCGACCCCCATGGAGATGGGCCCGCTATTCAACCCGTTGCTGCAAACCGAGAGGAAACTGGAGGTCGAAAGAAGACACAGGCGCTTTTGACTGCACTAGAAGAAGTGGATATGGATGTGGTCCGGCACTATCTTCGCATTTCTCGTAGGCCTTGGATGTTCCACCAACTTCATTTGAAAATAACCTACGGCTTGCAAGCAGATGACGCAACCACCGAACCCACTGAGAGGCTGATGGAGCAGTTCCCAGAATTAACATGCGATGCAGGACATCATAGCTTTTTATTCGATGTTGCCAAGGAGCTCCCGCACATCCTCGCATCATTCATCGCGGAAGCCTTCGAGTTCGTGTGGGGGCAGGAGCAGTTTACTCGTGTGCTGAAGTTCGCCTGTACAGTCAGCAGGCACTGGTTCTGGGAAAAATACGATCCGTCTTTCGGCCTCTGGGTCTCCATTTATCACAGAGGAAACGTTAGTGGATCATCCATCAAGAAAGCAGACTTTCTGAACCTACGACCATTGACGAAGTTCGGATCTCAGATGCTCGAGTACCTCAAGAACAACGCTGAAGACGATGGCCTGCAGGCGGTGCAGTCCGTCATCATCAGCGGTGCCACTAGTGACAGTGAAGGAGAGAGCCACTGGAAGTGGGTCTCTCTTGCTCGCGGAGTCGTCAGGCTTTTGGCCGGGAAGTTTCGTTTGAGCCACCAGAGACTCAGTTGGAGAGACCGGCTGCAGCTATTCCAGAGGATCCCGCGATTCTTTGGCAGTTCAATGGAGAAACCGATTCCGTCACCTATCGTTCGTGGCTACATGCAGACCGGCTCGACACGTCAGGAGCTACTCGAGATCATTCGATCCGAACATGTGAAGCAGCCAACCCGCCTGGAGCAGTTCAAAAACCTTGAAGACCTCCATAAGTCCGAGAAGATGAGCAGTCGTGCCCTCGAGATTGAGAAGCAGACTCTGAACCACGTAGCGGACGAAGCTATCTGTTCGCATGCAGAGACGTACGGTCTGCCAGGACTAGAAACTGCTATTTGGACCAAGTTGCGCAGCAAGCGAAATCGTCGCGACTTTCGAATCTTGCAGCGCGCGGCAGACTTGGTGTGCCGGCGATTGGGTTTGTATACCCGGCTGACAAGTGACGCAAAGCCGATTGTGTTGATGGACAACTACTTTGACGGCCGCGTAGTTCTGGTAATCGACCTGAAGAAGGGCATGTACTCTGGAATGAAGATGAAGATAGGACTCGAAGCCGACGTCTATATTCTGGACATGGATGGCACTTCTATCTGCTACGGATTCGCTTCGCACTGCTGGGTTTTAGAAGATTACCAGTGGGCTTTTCCGAATGGTCGCATCGAAATATCGACAGATGCAAACTGGTTGACTTTTCACTCGTGTCTCCTAGAGTGCGTGAACAGTATTGCGTACGCGGACCTGCTTCCCATCATCAAGCTCTACTTGGACTTCTCCCTGAACTTCGACGAAGGGCTTCCTGAGAAGGTGCTCCGAGATCTTCTAGCGCGTATTCTCGAACACGATGATCGAAACCGTGCAGCAGCTGAGGTCGAGAAGGTTCTGCGAAGCAATGTCTCATCGGTTGCGAGCATTGGGCCGGCACTGAAGAAGCTGAAGGCGAATTCAGGTCGCGCCGTAGGCGTTGCGAATGCTCCTGCAGGAGATGACTCGGACAACGAGCAGCGCGTCTTTTTAGGACGTGTCTCCAACGTATGTGAGTGGCACATGACCTGCAGCAGCTGCAGAAAGCTCATCGCGCGCGTGATGAAGACGGAGAGGCGCCAAAACCTCTGCGGAGCCGCTCTCTACGTAAAATATGAGAAGCATGATCCCTTGGAGCCAGGGGATAAAAAGGCTCCATGCAGGTGCTGGATTAGAGACAAACAGGCGACGCACCTGATCGAAGAATACGGATGGCGGACTACTGCGGAGGATATCCACAAGCGAACGTGCCCCGCGGCGTCGCTGACTGTAAAGGAAGTCAAGAAACGCTCCTAGCTCAATCGCGAGCGTTGTTTCGCTCAATCATCGTGATTCTTTTACAACTAATATCCACAGCAATGCTGATGGCAGTGTGCATATATTCTATACAAAAAGAAATATATTTTATGTATGAATCAAGGACTTACTCTAGCACTTCACCCGGAAGCGAGTAGTCGCTAAAGTCTCTCGCTGTATTGTTAAATCTGTCCACTGAGTACCTCAATCCACACTATCGATAATCAGATTCCTAGTCTATTCTTCTCTTATTCATCTGCTTGCACCTCTACAATTATGTAAGACCTTCTATTTGATTCTCGTGGAAGCGAGTACGTAAGACCGAACAAGTTTGTGTCTTGTTTAAGTGAGTGGAATTCCTTCGAGAGAGCTTATTTTTTCTATCTTGACCATAAGCAGAGGGGTCGCGACCTCTCTGTCTCCTACAGGCAAACAGAATTCAATATCTTGAAATTATTCAAACAGCCGCATCAGTTAAGTTCTTCAGTATTAGGCTCCATTTCAATGCAACTCAAGCAAGTACATTCCAGGTCAAGCTGCAGAGCTCAAATCCTAGTAACAAGTAATTCTGCAAGTGGGATCCACCTTATCGCGATCAGAGTTACGTCTAAGCCCTGAATAAAGTTCCAAGAATGAAAAAAAGTTGCTGCATTAAGTTCCTACATTTATCAACAGTAATCCATGTCTACGAGAGAAAACGCAGGTGGCAGTTCAGTGAAAAAATCAAAAGTAAAACGACCTAATAGTTACAATGTCGATGCTACCGATCTGAAAGAGAATAAGACTCTGCAGAGCTCAGATAATCATAAAGAATCTCCGAGGCAGTTCTGCTCGCCTCTATTGCCATTTCTGTGAGCGTAGCCAAGCGTGTGTTCCTTCTGTAGCATGTGGGACGAGAGATGTGCGCGAGGGTTCACTCGAGGGCACGACGTTTGGGCCAGATCGTTCTGACTTTTTTCGCAAGATCTTCATCCTTTTGCCAAAAGTAGTGGTCCAGCCAAGATGTCTTATCATGTTCCAGGAAGGGCCAACCAGGCGGGTAAATGCATAAGGTAGGCACCCAGTCTGATCCTTCTTTCTCCTTCCTGTTCACGTATATTACGATACCCTTCTAATAATCCACGAAGCTCTTTCTACTTGAGTATCTTACTTGCCAGGGAAGACCATGCTTAGTAGAGGTAAACATTGTGGGAGGAATGCTTTTGAGCATCATACATCTATGCTACGCCTTTCTGATCGATCTTTTGTAGTATTTTTTTCCTTACAAAACGGCAAAAGGAGACATGTCGGTACCCGCCCTGGCCCTCCATTGAAGGCGCATGGCCGTGGGCAGCAAGCTCGCACACCGGGATGAGATAGCTACCCCACAGTGCTTGCCGATCGGACATATCCTCCCGAATGTGAATTATCACAGCGTCGACCTCTGTACACCGCAGGCCGCATCCGTTTTTGCTGATGATGATTGTACAAGGTACAGCTTTATCTTAGTCGTCTCATGGCTTTAATTCAAGGGTAGGAGATAAATCTTTGAGGTAGATTGAGATGGTGGATTCTGCGATAGCTATCTACTTTATTACTGATCGGCGAGTAGTTGAATATCTACAAGGTGAATGTGGTGTGGTATAGACTAGATCCTTACCGCTTTAGTGACACCCACAGGCCACAAACAGTTCCATGGCGGTCCCGTTTCCACTTCGCGACCTTTTCTTGGCACCTTAGCTCTACGCCACGTGGTAGGCTCAAGATGGTGTCTACTACTTGAAAGCCCTTAGTGTGTGTGACGTATTTGAGCTTCGCATCGTCGGCTGCTGCTCTGAACTGCCTCCTTAGGCGGCACTCAGTCAGCTGCGCTGGAGTCGTTGCAGCTAGTTCTTCGACTGCTTCTAGAGCACACGTCGCGTTCTCTTGCCACAGTTGTTCGAGTTTCGTGTGTAGATCAGCTGCCGAGGCCCACCACTTGCGATCGCTTAGTCTACAGCTGGACCAATTGTGGTGCCTGTGTACTGGAACTGTCAGCGTTTTCTTGCTGTGTTTGTTCACCCCCAGCAGCACTGTGTTGTGATATGCTTCGCGTCGCGTTTTTAGCGTGTGTTTCACGCCTTTAAGCCACTGGCTTATGCCGCTGTGTGACCCTTTTGCCTGCACAAGAAGGTAGCGACGGCCCTTCTTGGCGATGCCCTTCGGACATATAGCCAGGTCCCCAATGTGCTCTGGGGTGTCAGTTACTTCGAAGGCTGGCGCCAGCAGTTTTTTCAGGCGTCTGATAGACCAATCCTCGATGGCTCGTGGAGTCGACCCCATCGCTTATAGTATTAGAAACTGAGACTACAGCTGGGCACTTTATATCCTTATCTTAATCGTAAAGAGTCTTGGGTGAACCATCCAAAAAGCCCTATGAGTCCTGCTTTCCCGAGTGCTTTAGTACTTGTTTCAAGGGGTCTTCCTTATGAGATCACGGACTTTTGTCAGATACTCTATTAGGTTATAATTTCACAAAAACCTTCCATCATAATTTGCATTTCTCACCTCACCTCACAGATCCTTGCGCTGGTATTGTCGTGGTGTATCGCGGTCGCCGATTGAGCTGATCGCCTCGCTTTTTGAGCCTTTGGGGAACTATCTTGTGATCGGTTTCGAGGTGGTGCTACAGACGTGGACATTTCAAATTCAAGACTTTCCCAGAGAAGTGCATCATCATTCGTCATCCAGCTGGCTCATGGGCTCAGCCACCCAGCTCTTCTCCACGGGATCGCCTCAGACCTTGCCACGCACAAAGCCTTGCACCTTCGCAGCCACCACTTAACTAGCTAGTTAACTTAATCTATTAACTAGATATTTAAAGCTTATAAAGAATAAATTTTACTGATTCTGAAAGTGAAAAGACTTTTCGGTTCCATAGTGGCGGACTTTGTTGTATAAGCTTCAAAGGCTGAAACCATTCAGAGGCAAAACATGAAAGCCAAAGCGAAGCCATTCTGGCTGTCTCTGACTATGGCGCACGCTGTTGGTTATCAGTATCAGCCGAGACGTTGCCCGCCAAGGCTTTCCAATGTGGCGCACCGATGGGGACCGTTAGGCTTTTGCATGTTTTCCATGTGTGTCGCAGTCTCTCAAGTTGCTGCAAATATCAAGGAGCATGGCACGCGTGCACTGTCCGTCATCATCTAATAGACTAAATTCCATGCGTAACACTCGATATCTTATATTTAGTACTATGAAGGGAATTACACTCCTGACTTAGAGTTTTACAGGCACAAACTGAACGCTCGGACTCTAGTTTCTCTGTTGGGTTCTATCAAAGGACTTCGGCTGTATCCTGGTGAAGATGAGTACTCATCTTCTTTGCAAAAGCACGAGAATAAAGTTCGAAATCGTTCTATTCTTCTAGTACTGGTATGTTGTATCGCGTGTTTCTAGTCTCATGACAGCTGGCGAATACTGTAGAAGAAGGAGGAACATGGGATACAAATGAAGATTGGGACAGTACTACTAACCCAATACTTGGCATACAAAATCTGACTGCCATCTTCACACTAGACACACCCAGCCACAGCACACACATCCACCATAAAAGAAGACACCGCGTCAGTCGATGAGTCTACGATTGATTCCCGACCAATTTCCATCCATCTTGTTGTGGAGTAGTCGGCGCATTGACGAGCACAATTTTCGGCCAAGTTAGGACCTTGAATTAGAGCTAGGCACTGCTGCGTCGCGTCGCCCCTGAGAGCGATACCCTTGACAAATTCCCTTCCCCTTGAAAAAAAGGCCAAAGATGCTGCTGAATATGTTTCGCGGGTATTCCTCTGGTAACGTGCTCAGTCAGGGGTGTCAGCCGTTGCGGCTTTTGTGCTTGCCTTAATAGAAGAACCATTTCGGCTCCCTTTTCGGCATTCAAAGGCTGTAAACTCCCTCCACCAGGCATGCCTAGGCCCGTAAAGCACTGAGTGCTCGAAAAAGCCCAAAAGTTTAGAAAGAAGAACTACAGAAAAAGTTATTTGAAGCCATCAATATGCATGTTTTGAGATTGAGAAGTCTACTTAGTGAGGAGGTCGAGTGACGAAACAAAAATCGAGTGACTCACGGCTGCAAGTCACATGGTATGTAATGACGTAAGGACTAAGTTTAAATATGCTTCCCATAGTATATAAGTTTGAATATGCATCACAAGATCAAGATGACTATGTGGGGATTCGCTTTCGCATTTTTGATCTACTCCTAGTTCAACTGGAAGAGTAACTCAGTCGTAGTACATGGAAGAGGAAGACTTTGTTGATACACTATCAAGCACTCAAATTCAAACTGTACTCCTACTCTACATACTCAATCTCCGATAAAAAGCAGTGGTGGCGTAAGGAACCCGTCGGCCTTGAGTCAGCTAGTGTCGCCAGTAGCTCGTCCAGGGTAGGCGGTGGAGCGTTTATTAGAGTTCGTCACTACAGTTAGGGTAGGCGGTGGAGCGTTTATTCAACGTAGATCTTCACTACAGTCCCTGGCTCGGTGAGTTGGTTCCTTTCTTTCCCATTTGATTTCTTTCACCTTTAAGAAATCACAGGAGCGGACTCCACTCAGCATAGTTCACATCGGATAGTTAAAAACCAGCCATAAGTTCAGTTGCTGATCCCCGTCTCCACACGCCGCGATTAGCTGTGAAACACGCGCGCGGCAGCTACTCTTCACGAAGCTTCCGAACCAGGTAGAGCTTGGTCCTGAGAGACGAAGGTTGAGAGGATTATGAATTAATCTTCGAAATAGCAAACAGGTAGTAAGTCGAAGTTCTTCCTGGTGCTAGGTGGTAGGTTTGTTGGGAGAGAGAGAGATGATCCATTGTGTTCAAATCTTCTTCCACGACAGGTCGTGCTCGCGGTAGATTGGAAGGACTCAATGAAATCTTCCGAACATCCTCAATAAACAGAAGAAGTATAGAAGATCCTCAGCAAATCATTGTCGTGAATTATCTGGATGGAGATTACAAGTAAAACTTATCGATTTTGGTAGTGAACGGGATGGAGCGCACTAATACAAAATACGCGCAGATACCAGCCACCACCTAGACATTACGGAAAATTTTTTCCTTCAACAACTCTACTCAACAAAAGAGTAAGAAGCTTCCGGAAGCGTTTCGCTGGCTCTTCTGTCTGTTTTTACGGATTGAAGCAGCACAACGAATTAAGGGGCCCCAACGTACAATGGGCCTTACTACTAACTTACATAGCCAAATAGAATAAACTAAGTCAAAAAATCCGATAAGGCCCATAGGCCTACGGCTCCAGCTAAAATTAAATATGTGTAAAAATCAGCCACGCACAAGCTAGAACGTCAATCCCTAGAGCAGAATAAAAATTAATCAACATGATTGCAAAGCAAGCACGCGAAGAAATCCATGTAGCCGCCGGCGCAGAATCATCCGAGTATCATCCAAAAGACAAGCGTCGCAGTCGTAATAAGCGAGTCACCTCGTCAGTCAGAAAATGAAAACAAACAAGGAACACCTTTCAACAGACTAAGCCCAGCCCTCATGGCCTAATTAGCCTAATGCAATCTGGATGGATATTACAAGTGAAACCTATCGACCTTGGTAGTGAACGGAATGGAGCGCACTGATCCAAAATACGCGCACATACCGTGAATTAAAGAACGGGTTGTCCTGGTCTGGTGATTGTAGTGGATGGAAGTATACGTAAGTAAAATGGTCGGTGAAGACGTCGGAAAAATAGTAGGAGTAGGTACAGTAAGTTTAGTTCACTAGTATGCATGTGTTGAATAACTATGAAAAAGCGAGTACAAATCTCCTAAGGTAGACAAGCAACCTATACGATGGATCTAGAACTGGAAGACTACTTTTTGCATGACCTCTACACAATCGTTATCCTTTTTTGTATCAGGTCCACCAGTCCTTTCTGTAGTACTCCTTGTAGAACCTCTAGATTTACGCAAAAGCTGTTCGTGATCCACCATGATCCACTTCTACTAGTAGACCAGTACGCAAGTGCAAGTGCTAAATGTTAATCTCCTAGTACACCAGTTGTACTAAGGCTATCGTCAAGCAACAACAAGTACATGTAAAAGTGTCAGTACCAGTGGACGACACTGCAGGCACTTGTCCATCGCCCTTGTCCGGTGCATCGATGAGCTGCCCTGCTGACATGCCTTTTTGATTGTTCGGACAACCTTGCACTGCACTTTTTGAAGACTTTCGTCTTGTTCTTTTACCTCCTGTTACTTCCCTGCTGTTCATATTGTGCATATTGATGATGTGCTTCTTGCCGCGGCTGACAACAAGTGCTGCTGAAGAGGAAGATGGAGCAGCTTTGTCTTCTACTCCGTGCTTTGATTTAGGAATTTTTTCTTCAGTTTGTCTGCTTTCTTCTTTTAGAAGTAGTATTCTTCCATCCTCATCCCTTGATACTGTCACCTTGTCATCTTCTTTGTCTTCTTCATCATGCTCCTGCTCTTCACCTCTATCGGCACGTCCTCTTTCCACTTGTTGTTCTACCTCTTCCTCCAAAAGAAAGACTCCTGACCCACTACTCCTCGTGCTGTTTAACGTCTGATTTGCGGGCTGATAGGTTCCCGTAAGACCTGCAGGAGGAAGCTTATATTAGTGAAGAAAACATGATAACATTACTAGGCCTGTACTTGGAGTAGAAGATCTAGTCGTGGGTCGCATCCCACCTGAGAAGGTCCTTTTTCAACATCCCTGTCCCTGAGCAGTCCTTTTTCATCTAGTACTAGAAGAAAAGGATGCCAAAGAGGATGCTGGAGCTAGTCCTAGTGATGCTCTCTTGGTTAAGTTAGGTTCGGTTATCTGGGTTAAGTTAGGTTTTAGATTACGCTAGAAGGTTAGGTTAGGGACATCTCTACTGGGAGTAGCCATGCTCATGCTCTCTTGGTATTTGCCATAATTATACAGTGTATAATACTGGTCCTGGAAATCGCTGAACCACGCGTAGGTAAAGTAACAGCAATCTCCATCATTCAGGCACTCCTCAACCGCATAGTCGAGACCGGAGTATGAAAGAGGAAGAGACCACTAGGACGTAATAAACGTAGTTCTTATCTCCTACCGTATCAAAAGTTTTTAACATCTCCTAACGGAAAAGTCAATCTAACGTAAAAAAATGAAGGTACTATTCAGTTAATCTCTAATATCCATAACGAACGCACAAGTTCTTATTTCTAATGATTCACAAAATCTTTATCTCCATGGCACCAACTGACATGAATTAAGTTAATGACTTTCAACAAAGCATAAGTGTACAGTGTACTCTCCTGTTGCGCCGTGTGCGATTTCGTTATTGATATGGCGGCTCAGTAACTCGTTGTGCGCCGCAATACTTTGTCCTCCCGTCAGACGTGTGTCGTTCCCAGCACCAGCCAAAAGGGAGCGATCATGTAACCAAACCATGGTCAGCGGCGGTTCCCTAATAGCGGACGGCCCACACACACTTGGCAAGAGGCACGTTGCGTGATCAACGACAGAGGCTACACGCATATAAGCTTCATTTGGAGGGGGATCACAGGGTGTGTTGCTCCAGATCTCCGCCGAATCGAAGCCACAGCCTGTTCCACCGAAACCACTAACTACATCAAAGGGCATTTCAAGTGTGACAAAAGTGTCTGCTTCGTCTTTCGTACACAAGCGGAACCCATGATACTCACAAAAAGCTGTCGCTTCAAGAAACGTGTTGGCCGCAAGACCCGCACAAGTATCCCAGTCATTTCTCCCGGTTCTGGATTAGAGATAAGGGAAGTAATATGCAAGAAGAAGTCAGAACTGAAGAAGTTGTTGTTAGCAATAGTAGAAATGAGTAAGTAATAAAATTAAGTAGAAGTCAAGAACAGTTATCATGAGATTGAGGACAACAAGAAGAACATCATACTAGCGGCTGTAATATGGGATTGAGAACAGCCGTAACCAGCGATAGTTTTGTTCAGGTACACTCGGACACCATCCGCCCCACAGCATCGGGTCGCAGCACGGCCTGCAGTGGCCCCAAACCTGGGCAAGCAATGCTTTGGCGGTTCCTCGTTTTCACCAGTAATTTTAGAGGGTGAGCGTTGTTTTTGGGGATGATGCTAGTCTTCTTATGTTAAAGTGAGTAGCTTCCTTGCAAGAACTTGAGAGACCGGAAGATAAATATAATTTTGATAAAAGAGATACATCAAGAACCCTGTGGGTGTGGCCATCTTAATGCTCGGATTGAACAGTACAGGAGTGCCAGGTAAAACCCAGACGTGAGATTTCTTGTAGAAAATGAACTTCTTTCCCGCATGAACATTCCCCAACCGCCCACGCTGAAAGATATCCCGGCAATAGGAGGTGTGCGAATTCACACTTGGGCACTCTGGAAGTGTCAATATGTGATATCCCATCCAATCTTAGGTGTTGCAACTTGAAGTTGCTCCAATTTTAGGGGTCGCATATCTAAGACTCAATGTTGTCCTACTTAAAATTGAATTGAATAATGGTCAACATAGAAATAGATATGCTCCACCTTCCAGGGTCAGCGAGGTCAACTTCGAATAAGCCTTAACAATTCCCGACTTCCATCTCAGATCTCACTTGCGATGCTGGTGGGACTACTATGTTCAAACTCCCACCAGGACTACTAGTCGTAGAGGATGCTTTTCTTAGAGCAAGCTAGTGGATGCACTAGAGATAGAGGGAGCAGTCGAGTTCTCGTCTATCAATCTAGTTCTAGAAGATCCAGACTTATGCATTCACGTGATTTCTTTACTACAGAAGTTGATAGGTAATATGGAGCTGACGATTTTCACGAAGAAACAAGTAGGACGCAAATTATTACTTACTCTTTCTTTCATACAAAATCATCAACGTCTTCCTCACAAAGCTTTATTACGCCTAAAAAATCTTCGTATTATGATATAGATTGGGTGCTGGAGTAACTACTCTAGTACTAATCATCCCTCCGTACAAAAAAATTATCACTATAGTCGTCTACTTCCCAATTACAGCCGTAAGCCTTCTTCTTCTTCGCCTTCTTCCTGCCCGATCTGCGCAGCGGCATTCAGCGCGGGTGACGGATCGGCCTCAACATTGATAATCATCAACTCAAAACTTTGCGCACTACCGAATTTTAGAGGAGAGAAAGAGGGAGAGAAAGATGAAGAATGCTAAAAGATGTTAGGTTAGGTTTGGTTAGGTTAGGTTATGGATCCTTCGCATCGAGCTCCACCGGCGACTGCTAGGGCAAGCGTGTAAGCTCAACATACTTCAAAATGAAGAGCGACCTTATAGAGTGCAGAGACGAGTCGTAAAGCAAGCTTAAGAAGGTCAACAGACAGAACAAGCTGCGTTACATGTATCTTACACAACAATCCTTTAGACGAGTGAAGAGAGTAGTCCTCCACCTCCTGCTCAGAGGAAAAACTAGGAGTCGCAAGCGCAACCACCTAGGTCTAGAACAAGTAGTCTTTTGCTTCAAATATAGAAATACTCAATTGCTGCAGGAGGTTCTTACAAGAAAGCCACCTTGATTGTCCTGTGACGAAAAAGTTACTAGACATAAAAGACAACACGCCTTAACAATTGGAGATCCACATTGTGGTACTGTGTAGCTGAACGCGGCAGCTCCACATCAACAAAGGTCAAAGAATCCCGAGAAAAGGCCCTTTGCCGCTGCTTCTCAAAAGGCGATAATCCTCTAGGATACACTTCCAAACGGATGTTTCTTAAATCTTAGAATAACAGAATGATCATGAGAATGTTGTAGCTATATGGATGCGGAAGATGCTTAGTATCTATGAAGACGTGGTATGAAGCCGTGGTATTAGCACCACAAACTACAATAACAATACTCGATCTCGATCATGTCGAAGCAGTTTCTTGCTATCAACAGAGTACTAACTTCATCTGTGAAATAAAATTATGAAAAGATTCCATCAACCTTTGATGTAGTCGCGTTACATAACTTGCCCTTGTCCTGAGGTTGAGGGATGCTGTGAATTTGCCTCGCAGTAATTCGCGCCGCGGACACTCGGATTGAGTCCGTATATTAGCCCTACCCTTATTAACCTGGCCCGTCATCTAATCCCCTCAAAATACTCGATCCATTATCTAGGGAACTCATTACTCGAACCAGTAGAGATTGTGCAAGGAATGACCAGCGCAGTACTTCTAAGTTTAACGTCGGGACTCTCTCACGTGAAGAAGCGAGTCAGGTTATTATTTTTAGGAGCCTTAAATATACGCTCTTGATCGAAGTTGCAGCTTCCACCCGCCTCCACGTTTTGATCCCTGTGCAACTTTGCGGGAATGTAAACCATTCCACCGGAAGATGAAAGCAACAAATCCCTATTACAATCAATATGGCCGTTGATCAATACCTACGAAAAAGAAAACACGAAAGTGATTGTGACAGCACATGAAAATGAAGAATAAAGAACGGTTGTAAAACTTAATATATACTATCAACGTGCTTAATATTAACCTCCAATCATTCAATTCATAGCATCGAGCGTGCTGCTGCAGTGGTTGCGCCAAATTGGACCGACTCGATTGGGCAGACGTCCGAGTTGTGGGTCGGACTCTGCGCATGACATCTCTCGCGTGCGTCCTGTAGGCTCTTGTCTACACATATGAAAGGCAGCAGGAGGTGGAAAAAGGAAGGTTATGTTAGGTGTGGGGCTGCGAGGAAGACGAGAAGAAAGGAGAAAAGATTGTAGATTGTGGAAAAGCTACGGGGAGTCTTGTAGAAAAGCTACGCTGGATTTTCACTCTGTTCTACTTGTTGAAAAGCTTGTTGATAATGGTAAGAGTAGATTTTGGCTCCATAACACAACGATTGCAACCGTCTAGCTGATCACAGCCGGCACTTGAGACGAAATTTACGTAGTTGCTTTGAACCGGTCTGCCTGTCACGTCACAACAAACTACGTCATCTTAGAATGCTATAGCTGACGTCCTTATTCTCATTGCTACTATCTTAGGGAAATCGAAATGCAAATAAAGAGTTAGGGAGGAGCATGATTGTGATTTAGATATTAGAGCGTGATTTGGATTTAGATTCAGAGTTTGTGGACGATGATGTGCTAAATCTTTAGTTGTAGGTCTTAATTAAATCGCGCGTCATCCTTTGTGCAACGTCCTGGTTCCTGAAGCCGGTTTCTTACTACTGTTTGTTCCAAGCTCAGAATGGGGTCCCTCGGCATGTTGACAATGTAAGGCCCTTTAAGCACGGGCTTCCCTGTATTCCACAGACGTTCAACAATTAGAAAGTGGGAGAAGTAGAAGCAGTATCATCATCAATTATCAGAAGTAATTGTAATATTATCATCAATTAAAAATATCAGAAGTAATATCATCAACAATAATTATCAGAAGAGGCAATATCAGGCACTAGTAGAGACCCACGGGATTCCGGCGAATGTTGGGGCGGCTGCGTCGAACCCGAAGCAGCTCATCCCATACCTGCGCGACTTGGCGACCAACTTCGACGGTGCGTTCTTGCGAGCGCAGCCGCCACACCTCCAGTGAAGACAAGAGGAGACGAGCAGCGGCCGCTGTGGTAAACCCATCGCTGGCTGCTACGATAGGACGGGGGCCGAGGTATGTGGTGGCGAACGAAGAACGAGCAAGGAGGAGACAAGAGAGGCAG